TTTTTTTATTTTTTAATTTTCTTTTTCTCTTTTAATTTTCTTTTTTCTTTTATTTTCTTTTTCCACCTTCCTCCACTGCAATCAGCCGGCGATGGCCACAGGCGAGCTTGAGCTCGCCAGCCTCGCCTGAGTTGCGAGCTCGCCTGGATTGGCCGAGCCTAGGCTCGCCTAGATCGAGCGAGCCGCCAGCTCGCCGGCCTCAGTGGAGCCCAGACTCGCCTGGATTGGCCGAGTCTCGAGCTCGCCACCAAAGGTCGCGACCTCGCTGGCCTAGGGCGAGCTCGAGGCTTGCCACCATAGGCCACCGCGAGCTCGCCGACCGTCGCCATGGTCGGCGAACGGCCTGAGGAAGAAGAAAAAGAAAAAGAAAAAGGAAGAAAAGAAAGAAAAAAGAAAGAAAAAAGTAAATAAATAATAAATAATTCGATTTTTTAAAAAAATATAATAAATGATTTTTTAAAATAAATAAAAATTCGATTTTTTAAATGAAATATTTTTATAAAAACAATCGTTTCATTAATTAAGGACAAGAGCTTGAATGCCGAGGACTTGCGCATGGCCTTTATGTATTCGGGCCAGAGGGTCGGGACTAGAGCTCGAGTATTGGGGACTTGAGCGTAGCCTTTATGGACCCGAGTTTGGGTGTTGGAGCATTGGGTATAGGCACCAGGGGTTCGGGCTCAGCCTCGATGGACCCGAGCGTGGGTGCTGGGGGCCCGGGCCTTGGACACCGAGGTCTCGAGCCTGGCTGCCGAGACCTTGTCCTCAATGTCAGGACTCGAGAACCAACGTTGGGGTTTTCGTGCTCAAGCGTAGAGTTTTGGGTCCAAGTGTTGATAGCTAATCATATTTCAAAAAACGTTTTCCAGTTTTTTCAAAGGGGAAATCATTTTCCTGAATTTAAGCTTTGGTAATGAAACATTTTTGTTGATTAGGAAAATATTTTCCGTTGACTTATTTCTCTAAAAAAATTACGCGAAACAAATGCACCCTAAGGCAATAAAATTTCTATTTTGTAGTATGTCGAATGTTTGTATTTAATGACAACCACCATTCATTCTTCAGACGACGAAGTCAATTATATTTGTATGACTATGTTAGAAAATATAACTGCGAAAACTTACAACCTGTTAGCTAGCTAAAAGATATTTACGAAGCACATATATATATATATATATATATATATATATATATATATATAACGGAATTTCATGGATATAATATAGAGAACTCTATCAAATTGATCGTTAGTTAATTTATTCCACAAAAGTGCCTGCCTTATGTTCAATTTGTTAATCTAGAATCAAGGGCTCGTTTAGAATATCATTTATGCAATACCCTCATTACTATGCATTTGTCGAATTAAATATGGTAACTCACTTGTTTTATATGTAATAAATTTAATCTTAGACATCAAGAGTGACAACTTTCAAATATAACTTAACAGTTCTTGTACACATGCGATTACATATTAAAATGTGATACCGTTTTTTCTCTTGTTCAAAGGAAGTCTTTATCACTAATCCAACCAAAGGCAACTGAATTATTAGTGCAACTAAGTTCTAAAACTCGTCACAAAAGTGCAATCAAGTCTTAAAACTTTTAAAAAGTATAATCAAGTTCTAAAACTTGTCAAATTGATCAAATCAAATCTTTTTGTTGATTGCATTTTTCAAAAGTTTTAGGACTCGATTGCACATTCATGACAAGTTTTAAGACTTGATTGCAGTCTTTAAAAGTTTTAGGATTTAATTACAATTTTGTGACAAGTTTTAGAACTTGATTGCACTTTTTTGAAAGTTTTATGACTCAATTGTACTTTCGTGACAAGTTTGAGGACTTCCAATGTACTTATACCTATTTATTTTTATAAGCAATATGAGTTATTTTCCATGAAACTAATGGAGCCTAAGTCCTATCATAAGATTCTAAAATGGCATGAACTAAGCAAGGCAATAATTCTCCGAAAGCTAAAGGATAAGCGGTAATTATTAGGTGAAAGAAACAAACAAACATAAATTAAAGGATATAACTAATGTCGGATACAAGCTAAGCATTTTAAAAGTGCTTGGACATCCCTGTACATGAATATGACTTTAGATTGTTCAATAAAACAACGAAGACATATTAATAGAGAGAAACAAAGGTAGAGACTAACTATGGCTGATTTTCAGAGAATTGGAGCTACCGGTGTTGGGCTATATTGCATGTGCCATATCGTGAGGGGCATGCCCAACATGACTCTGGTGCAACAAATATGCAATAAAAACCAATACAGTGAAGGACATGATTTCTATTACTGTGCATGCGACCTCTCCGAGATTTACGTATCGAAATGGCTGATTCTGGGACACTACTACAGCCATGACAGTGTCTTCAGTTATAACTGTTACGGCCATGCGGCTTGCAATGGAGACCATCCGGATTCCGATGTACTAGCTGCTTGGAACATGCTGGTGATGAGCTGCTTTCGGAATGTTAATGGAATTGGTGCCCAACCTCAACTTAAAGATTGCAAAACAAGATTTGAGGCCTACTCATTTCGTCCAAACTAATGAGTTTGGTTCAGTGATGACTATTACATTATAGATCTTTGTTATATGTTTATTGCCATTTACTGTGTTTGCTTCCACCAATGTAATAGTCGTAATAGGTATTATTGTTGGGCTGCAATGGCAATTTTCAAAATGCCCCTTGCTCTTTTCTCCCTGCCACTTTGTCGATGTTGGATGATATTAATTAAAAGTAAAAATTTAGAAGTCAATCCAGCTAGAAATAGCTGGCTCCTTTAGTACAAGAGAAAAGGAAGCAACCGCATTACTAGCAGTTTATTAGTGACTACAAGCGCACTCATCAAACAGTTCATGTGAAATTAAATAGTACTTCTGGACACAACATCCACATAATTAGCTTGAGAAGCAAATGAAATCATGCCGTGAATAGATGTTTACGTGCTTCATCGAGGGTAGAGTTCGGTGATTGACACTCCATTGACCGACAAAGGCGCAGAGCCGCTGGTATTTTGATCTTGTCCCTGGTCATTTGCTATGATGTTATTCGGCTGTTCCGTCCAACTTCGGAGGAAAAAGGCGGGTTCTCGTGGCACTGGCAGACTAAGAGTTTGGATGCTCAGCATGAGAACTATGTTCGCCATGGTCGGTCTATTAGCTGGATCTTCCTGAACACATAGAAAGCCAATATGTATGCATCTGAGCACTTGGCTTCTGGAATAAGATTTTTCCAGCACCGGGTCCAATATTTCCGAAGGCCTATCGTCTCTCCAATGTTTCCACGCCTAGAGCAGTTTGATTGGACACAACAAGTGAACCACGGAACAATATTGTTGCTTGAGAGTGCGGAACAATTTAATCATAAGAAAACTTACATAGCTTGCAAGAGTTTCACCTCCATCAGATTGGTAGTAGTAGTCATTCCTCTTGCCGCAAATGATCTCAAGGAGGAGGACGCCGAAGCTGTAAACATCAGACTTTTGAGAGAATTGCCCATGCATCGCATATTCCGGGGACATGTAATCGCCGAAAACCACCATAAAAAACTTACATGTTAGGATGCCTGTCATCTATACTAATACCCTTATCAATTCTTAACCAGAAGCTACATAATAGTATAATTTGAAAAATGCAAAACTTACTAGGTTCCTACGATTCTTCTAGTGTTTGCCTTAGTTTGATCAACTCCAAAAATCCTCGCCATGCCAAAATCCAAAATCTTTGGGTTCATATCATTGTCCAGCAAGACATTGCTAGCTTTTAAATCATGGTGAATGATTTGAAGCCGAGAATCTTCATGAAGATAGAGCATCCCTCGAGCGATACCTGATATTTTGTTGAAATGTCTTGGCCAGTCCAATTGTTTGCTTTTCTCGGGGTCTATGTAGTGATTTAAGGATATGAATGAGAGTAAGTATAATCTAGGAAGTCTAGGAGTTAGATTCGAAAGTTCATATATGATAGAGTGAACAAGTATTCACTCAATCATTTATATCGGACATTAACCTAAGAGATGAACATAAGGCCAGTGAAGCAGAACTAACTGAACACGAGGTAGTCGAGACTTTTGTTAGGCACGAACTCATATACAAGTAGCTTTTCCTCTCCTTCCAAGCAAAATCCGAGCAATCTCACTAGATTCCTGTGTTGAAGCTTTGCCACCACCACAATCTCATTCTTAAATTCTTGGACACCTTGCCCTGAGCTTTGGGATAGCCTCTTCACAGCTATTTCTTGCCCGTTGGGAAGCCTACCCTGAAAAAAATTGTGCAAGGTGACAAGAATTCGTGAACTCTCCACTTCTTTTTTGTTTTATAAAATTGTTTGGTTACGTTGTTCACGCAATAGGGCCGTGGACTCTTTTTATGCTAAAAATAAGTGGGCGCTAACCACAGTCACTCTTAGAGACAAAATTGGAAACTTTGTTCTAGAATTCATGAGAAAAAGAGAATGATATAGCCCATTTAACGTCCATTTCCATTTAAGTGAGCTGAAAGTTCATGACATGGGATTTGTTCAAAAGTGGTTGACTTGTCAATGTACACAGTAAAAATACACTAATCTACCTCTATATAGCGAAGAAGCACTTTCAAAAAAATTTCAGATACCCTACTGAACCAAAATAAAGTTCAAGGACGACATTATATATCGTCGTCATTTCAATTTCAAATCCAAACCGAGCATCGAAAGACTTCTGAAGGCATTTCACGACTTCCATAATCACTAATGTACCTGGTAAACCTCTCCAAATCCACCTCGGCCAAGCTTGTTTTCTTGAGAAAAGCTGTTCGTGGTGGCAAGTAACGTATCCCAATCGAATTGCAAGGACTTCAAGGATGTGATCTCGCTTACAACTTCATGAGTGAACAACAAAGTCGTTTAGACTTGTGCTTGTTTTTTTGCGTCTTACGGTCATAGCTTCACAAACTTTTTAGTTTCTCAATTGAAAGTTTCATTCTCGTGTTTATTTTTTGAAAGGACAATCATTACCGCTTCCTTCTTGCACCGCTTCATATTTCTTCTTTGCTGGCCTCCTCCGAAGGTAACAACAACCGATGAAGAGAAGCATGGCAAGAACGGCGGCTGAGGCGGTAATTGCAGCTAAGGTACCTGATAAGATAATTGTTTTTCTCAGCATATTTGGAAACATCCGTTAAGTGCAACCCTAAAAGAGTGAGTGCCCAGCACCCCTAATAGGGATGATTATGATTTCCAAAAAGTGTTGATCACAGATAAAAAGATAAAAATAGTGTATGGTAAACTTCATAGTTACTTCAAATGGCTGGTTAACAAGTGCCTCGAAGGCATTCTTTAGCAAAATCCATTAGCTATTACTCCACTCAAATAAACTGATGAAGGGGTTTACATACACTTTTGACCTTGATACTTAATAATTTCATTTAGGGTCTCATACTTTTTCCCTTGCAATGCACAAATTCCCCGTATTAGCACTTAAACATAGGATGATTCTACTATTCTTTACAAAAAAGGGGACTTTTCTTCGGTGCCGGTAGATTTTAAAGGAGTTGTTAAGTGTCACAAAACTATCGGTACAAAAAAAAAATCACCGATCACGAGATCTTCCTATGACTTATTGGTAACTTACGAACACTTTTATGAAGTTACCCACTCTTTTTCACAGTTTGCAAATTAGCGGTTGTGTTTATCTTTATTTTTCTTTGTTAGAAATGTCTAAAACTTACCAATCTTATATGAGCGACTTACCAACTTTTTCCTGATTATTGACTAGTTTTGGCTTACCAACTTTTATTTGAGTTACTTAATAAGTTTATTTGGTTGTGCTTTCATTTATCAACTTTTTTTTTTTATCATTTATCAATTTTTGCATGTGTTTCTTACAAACACTTTAAATTTATGAAATTTTTTAGGAATTTACCGACATTTGTTTATGTGGCCTACCAAGTTTTATTCCATTAGGTCACAAATCAGTTTTATTTTATGAACTCTCATTTGGGTTGCTTACCAACATGTATCTTTTTAAAGAAAAATCCAACAATTTTTCTATTGAGTTATTTACTTTTATTTGCTTACCAAATATAGTCTTGCATTACCAACTCTTATTTGAGTTAGTTATCAAAATTTATTGAGTTTTTTTAATACTAACTATGAGAATGAGCTGTAAAATATATTTATGATTGTAATTAGCTAGAATCAAGGATTATAGGTAGCTAGTTTAGAGGATATATTTTTTAAGATTCTTTCTTTCTTTGTATATATATACGCCTCTAGGTCATTGTAAACGAATGAAGAAGAAATACAGAAAAGTGAGGAATGTGGTTTTCTTCCTCGAAATATCTTTGTGTTAACATGGTATCAGAGCTAAGGGTTTGCTCTTTGTGAGTACTGTGCGTGAATCTTCGATTACGGCGGTCCCGCTTTCTCTATTGCGCCGTTCGGCGTGTGTCCTACTCGATCTTCTTCATCTTTGTCATGATTGATTTTGGATCCATGGAGGATCAGAACCCTATTGGAGTGGTGATTCCCCATCAGAACCAAGGGGGGAATTCGACCACGGAAGCTCTTTTGGAGAATCTGACTGCCAGATTAACTCGGATTCTCACTCAGAACCAGACGCACCCTCCTCCTCCATCACCAACACCGCATAATGATTTGGTTTCATCTCAGATTGCAATTAAATTGGATGGAGCCAACTATGGATTATGGTCTCAGGTTGTTGAGATGTACATCACTGGTAAAGATAAACTGGGATATATCAATGGAGACCTTCCTCAGCCACTGCCTACAGATCCTGGCTTTCGGAGGTGGAAAACAGAAGACTCGACTGTGAAAGGATGGCTTATCAACTCCATGGATTCGGCGTTGATCGGCAATTTCATTCGCTTCCCAACAGCGAAATCTGTCTGGGATGCAGTTGCAACGAATTTCTTTGACGGAACGGATGCCTCTCAGGTTTATGACTTGAAGAGGCGTGTTGCTCGGATGCGACAAGGAGGAGGACCAATTGAGGCGTACTACAACAATCTTCAAGGCTTGTGGAGAGAAATCGATTTTCGCCGTCCGAACCCAATGCGGTATCCTAAAGATATTGAAAGATACAATATGGCTATACAAGAAGATCGGGTATACATATTTCTTGATGGGTTGGACGACCGTCTTGACAAGGTCAGAGCAGATGTTTTGCAGATGCAGCCGTTTCCTACTGTTGAAGAAGCCTATGCACGTGTCCGTCGAGAAGACATGAGACAAACTGTAATGCTGACCAACAGTGACACAGTACATGATTCGGCAGCCATGGTATCTCGGGGGAATAGGACGAATGTCAAAGCAAATCAAGAACCGCTGTTGCAAATAGCGAAGCCAGGAGTTACGCAGGAAGGGGGAAAGCCTAGCTCGGCAATACGCCAGAAAATTTCTCCGGGGGGAGGTTGCTCGAATTGTGGTAATTCTAAGCATACTAGGGAGACGTGCTTTAAGCTTCATGGGTATCCAGATTGGTGGAAAGAGTTGAAAGCTCGAAAGCAAGCAGAAGGAAAAGGGAAAGCTTCTTTAGCGACTGCTGAGCCTCAGCTGTCACTGATACCTCACGTTGATCCTCAGAATTTGATGTCAGGAGGTAACCATGGAAGTGCTTTGGTTAGTTCTAATCAGATTGATTGCAATCACTGGGTTATTGATTCGGGAGCTACTGATCACATGACATTTACTCCTGATGACTTTGTTCATACTTCAGAACCAAGACGTGACAGTATCTCAAATGCTAATGGATACACCTATCCTGTGACTGGGGCTGGAGTTGTTGCGATTTCTCCTGTTTTTTCTCTTCCTAACACCTTGCTTGTCACTTCATTATCGACCAAATTGATTTCGGTAGGACAAGTTACTGAAGATTTGAATTGTGCTGTTATAATGTATCCCCACTTTTGTTTGTTTCAGGATATTCTCACGAAGGAGATAATTGGGCGTGGTACTAAGAGAGGGGGGCTGTATTATATGGATGACTTCAGTTCCGGGAGTGCAAATCATGCTAGCGGTACATCCATCAGTAGAGAAAAACATATTTGGCTTTGGCATCGACGGTTGGGACATCCGTCATTTGGTTATTTGAAGCTATTATTTCCTGAATTGTTTTTGAATTTGAAGGATTTAGATTTGCAATGTCAGACTTGTATATTGGCTAAGAGCCATAGAGTTCCTTTTCCTATAAGTTTGAATAAAAGTGAAGCTCCTTTCTCTTTGATACATTCAGATGTTTGGGGTCCATCTCCTATTACTGCTGTTTCGGGTTGTAGGTGGTTTGTGATATTTGTTGACGACTGTACTAGAATGACATGGCTTTTCTTGATGAAAAGTAAGAATGAGGTAGCCAAGATATTTAGAAATTTTCATATTATGTTACAGACCCAATTTAGTGGACAGATCAAAGTTCTAAGAAGTGATAATGGTGGAGAGTACATGAATGAATACCTTAAGGAGTATTTTCAACAACATGGCATGATCCATGAGTCATCCTGCTCTCAAACACCTCAGCAGAATGGTGTGGCAGAGAGAAAGAATAGACATATCCTTGAGACAGCTCGAGCTCTGTTGATTGAAAGTCATGTGCCTCAGAGATTTTGGGACAATAGTGTGACTACAGCTATCCATCTCCTCAATCGGATGTCGTCTAAAGTGTTAAACTTTCAGACACCACTACAGACTTTGTCTACATATGTGCCTTTACCTTCAGTCCTGACCATCCCTCCTCGGGCGTTTGGATGTGTTGCATTTGGTCATATCCCGAAGAATCAGCGGACGAAACTTGATCCTTGTGCATTGCGATGTCTGTTCTTGGGGTATGGTACACACCAGAAGGGATATCGTTGCTATGACCCTTCTACCTGGCGAACCTATGTGACTATGGATGTCTCGTTTGTGGAAGCTGAATCCTTTTATCCGGGTTCCCATTCTTCCTTTCAGGGGGAGATACAAATAGAAAGGGCGAATTGGTGGAAGTTTCCTGGTAGTATATTATCTGGAGGGGTGGAGAAAGTATCGTCTGAAGGGGGCGGAAGAACATGGTAGTATATTATCTGGAGGGGTGGAGAAAGCATCGTCTGAGGGGGCGGAAGAGGCATCGTCTGGGGGTGTGGAGAAGACATCGTCTGAGGCGATGGTATCATCTGAGGGTGGCCAACTTCTACAAGAGCAAAATCACGAAGAACAGCTTCCCTCTTCTCCAGTACCCGACTCAACTCCTGAGAATATTCCTGAGGTAACCTCTCCTACTCCTTCTTGTATCTTTGATGAACTTAATACTTCTGTGGGATATAAATTACCTGCTAGACACAATCGAGGTAAGCCTCCAAATAGATATTTGCCGGATGCTGAAGAGAAGAGATGTACATATCCTATTGCAAATTATGTGTCAACCAAAAGGTTGTCAAGCCCAGTAAAGGCATTTATATCGAACGTGTCCGCAGTTCGTATTCCAGAAGGGGTGCAGGATGCTCTGAAAGATCCCAAGTGGGTTCAAGCAATGGAGGAGGAGATGGTTGCATTGAAAAAAAATGAGACCTGGAAGCTAGTAGATTTACCCAAGGGAAAGAAGACTGTGGGATGTAAGTGGATCTTTTCTGTGAAGTACAAAGCAGATGGATCGATTGAGAGGTACAAGGCAAGACTAGTAGCAAAGGGGTATACGCAAGCTTACGGAATTGACTATCAAGAGACATTTTCTCCGATTGTTAAACTTAATACTGTTCGGGTCTTGTTGTCTCTTGCAGCTAATTTAGACTGGCCACTACACCAGTATAATGTCAAGAATGCATTTCTTGACGGTAATCTCGAAGAAGAGATTTATATGGATGTTCCACTAGGTTATTCTTCATCCTCATAGCTTGAGGCGGTGTGTAAGTTAGAGAGATCATTGTATGGTCTGAAGCAGTCTCCACGAGCATGGTTTGGCCGGTTCACTTTGGCGATGAAGAGGTATGGATATTCCCAAAGTGACTCAGATCACACATTGTTTCTAAAACGACATCAAGGGAAGGTAACAATGTTGATTATCTATGTTGATGATATGATTTTCACTGGAGATGATTTGATAGAAATATTTAAGCTCTAAGAGAAACTTTCTGAGGAGTTTGAGATGAAAAATCTTGGGGGTTGAAATACTTCCTAGGAATTGAAGTAGCGAGATCGATAGGGGGAATATTTCTCTCACAAAGAAAGTATGTGCTAGATTTATTGGCAGAGGTGGGAATGTTGGACTGCAAACCTGTAGACATACAAATTGTTCAAAACCATAGACTTGGGGAGTATCCAGATCAAGTGCCAACAAATAAAGAAAGATATCAAAGGTTAGTTGGCAAACTAATTTATCTATCGCATACTCGTCCTGATATTGCATATGCGGTGAGTATTGTTAGCCAGTTTATGCATGCCCCAAGTGAAGATCATATGAATGCAGTGTTGCGTATACTTCTCTACTTGAAGTCTTCTCCAGGACGCGGTTTGAAGTTCTTAAAAAGGGGTCATCTTGAAATCGAAGGATTTACTGACGCAGACTGGGCCGGGAGTGTTCATGACCGAAGATAAACTTCAGGATACTTCACTTTTGTGGGAAGAAACTTAGTTACTTGGAGAAGCAAGAAACAGAAAGTAGTAGCATTGTCAAGTGCAGAGGCTGAATTTAGCGGGATGGCCAAAGGGGTGTGTGAGCTCCTATGGCTTAAGAAGTTAATGTCAGAGATTGGGTTCGCTCCTAAAGCCGAGATGAAGTTGTTTAGTGATAACAAAACAGCAATTGATATCTCTCATAATCCAGTGCAACATGACCGTACCAAACATGTTGAAGTGGACCGTCATTTTATCAAGCAAAACTTGGATGCCAAAGTGATTCGATTTCCATTTGTACGATCTGATGATCAGTTGGCAGATATTCTGACGAAGGCTGTATCAAGCAGGATCTTCTATAGCTCACTTGACAAGTTGGGCATTCACGACATCTATGCACCAACTTGAGAGGGAGTGTGAGAATGAGCTGTAAAATATATTTATGATTGTAATTAGCTAGAATCAAGGATTATAGGTAGCTAGTTTAGAGGATATATTTTTTAAGATTCTTTCTTTCTTTGTATATATATACGCCTCTAGGTCATTGTAAATGAATGAAGAAGAAATACAGAAAAGTGAGGAATGTGGTTTTCTTCCTCGAAATATCTTTGTGTTAACACTAACTTCTCTTATCTCAGATTAAAGAAAAACTTCTCTTATCGTTTGTAACTACTTTTATTAAATTTTTTTTATCACTAGCTTAAATTTACCAACTGACCTTTATATGTGTGATTTACTTATTTGTCCGTAATTAGTTTACCGACTAATATTTGATTAGAAACTCTCATTTGAGTTGTTTATTTTCTTAGTTATCATCTTTTTAAATTCATTAACTTTTTGACTAGAAATTACCAACCTCAATTAGAATAAAATCAATTTTTCTCCGATTAAGTTACCAACTCTTATTTGAGTTAGTCACTAATGTTTATTTAGTTTTTTTTTTGAAGTACCAATTCTCTTATCTTTGACAAGATAAAAAATCATCTTGTCTTTTACTAAGTTTCATTTATATTTCTTACCAACGACCTAAATTTACCAAATTTTATATAAAATTACCAACCTTTTATGTGACTTACCAACTTTTGTTTATTAAGTTATGAGCTAATTTTTCTTTATATAAATAAACATATAAAGTAGATATCTTTAAGTTTTCATAACACCCACGGCTATGTACTCAAAATTAACAAGCACAATCATTTCGGTATTCTTTTGATGCAATATCGCTTTGTCAATGCTGCGGTCCGGCACAATAGAGAGAAAAGAAGAGGAGTAGCCATGGCCGTGACCTTGAAGCTCAAAGATGCTCGCAACCGCAATCCCTATTTCGATATATACCATTTACCTTTTAAATATATAATTTGCACTTTGAACTTGAGTTTGAGTACGGGTCATTAAATACCACATGCCATACTTAATACGATGGTTTTACTTGGTGAAGTTTGTTTCTTACTTTCTCTTTTATTGAAAGACTCAAATTTTGATTTTTTTTTTCTCTTATGTCAAATATCTGAACATTTTCAGAATTTAGAATTGTTGACATGTACAGTATTGTAAAAAATTTATATTTAAAAGTGTACGCTTTGTTCTAAAAAACTTGGTATCCGAGCAAAACATGCTTGAGAAAGATGGATCGACCCTTTGTTCCACCTTTCCCCCCCTTCCTTTAAGCATGTCTTTTTCTGCATCCGAAGTACTCTACTCACCATTGCTTTTTGTTTTTTGTTTTTTTTTACCGTTTCTGATTAGCATAGCTGGTTGGGGGTGTTGGAGAACTCCGATTAGAAATGGGAGTTCACCCAATGGCATGCAAACTGTTCCAAATCAGGGACACTTGCATAAATTAAGAGCTGATTTATGAAATTTACAATATATTTCATGGATTTTCAGGTAATCAGACCACTAATTCGTCCTGTATTGCTTTAAGTTTGTGGTTTTTGATCCATTATATTGATTGACATCAAAAGCCACACGACAAATTAAATTTTTTTAGAGTATTAAATATAAGGGATATGCCTTCCCATGGTAGGAACAACCATTGCCGGTGCCCTCCTCTCTCTCCCGGCCCTTACCTAATTACCCTTTATATGTTTTTCTTTTTCTTCTTTCAGAATTACAAGGGTATTTCTTTACATAAATTTATTTTGATTTTTTTAATAACAATCAGCCACATCAGCACCCTACATCCACCCGATGTACCATGTGTATCGACTCTTGAACCCCTCAAAGTTCGACATGTGTCACCGGCTAAGGGAATAAAAAATATAAAAATTGAAAAAAAACCACAAGAAGTAACTCTCGTCGATGGTCTACGGTTGTAACTCATCGGAACTCTCTCATCGAAGGTCTAACTCTTGTCAACTATGGTAACTTGTCGACGTTTTCGTCGACAGATGTACTTGTCAAGATTTAGTTCTCTTGACGAGATAATAAGCTCATGAGGTTTCGCTTTTACAAGATTTAGTTCACTTGTCACTATGAGTGGATGCAATATTTTCTCCTACGGCTATTGTTGAGAAATTGACACCATGTCATGTTTGAACGAATTATGAAGTTCATAAATTTTTATGAGATTTCAAAGTTTGGGATAAAATTCAAAACCGCTCCCAATTTAGGCTTTTATCTAATGAAATTAACTCAAAAATTAGTAAGTATAAAATCTACGGTCCAATTTCAAGAACCAAAATTTAAAAAGCCAGCTACTGTAGAACTTTTACTTCAGAAGACAAAAACTCTATAGTCTCCGTCGTACTAAGCGATATTACTTTTTCCACGAGATTAAACGCCGTACCTTTGGCGATATTTCCACCGGGAGACGGCGGAGCAGCTGGATGTGGCGGAGAAGATGACCATGGACTGGGGTTCGACTCGAAAAACTTGTGCAATTCCCATCGGAACATACAGCTCGGCTTGTAAACATAGCCGCCTTGCCATCCGTGGCAGCACTTATAATAATCGTCAATGGCTTCGTTCAAGCAACTCCCGCAATCATTCGGCAACAAGTCGGGACTACACTGTAACAGGGAGTAGATCGTCTCGTTGTCCGGCAAGTCGGCCTGCCCCATCACATACTTGAGCCTCGAAGAGCCGTCCGCAGATTTGCTCGCTAGTCTTTTCGTCAAGTTCCCCCAAACTGCATCGAACTGGTCTTGGTTCATGGCGATGTGGCTGGCGACGTTGGCCATCTTATAGGTAGGACTCGTTTGCAGTATCCCGTAGATCGGAGTATCCGAGTATCGGATAAAGCACGGCGGATCTCCAATTCCCCAGGAGAAAGCCGCCTTCTGGTTAGGGCACTTCACGACCAATTCTTGGACCGCGGAGCTCACGCAGCTCTCGCAGATATCTGCTGACGAATCCCCTCTGCAGAAAGTGATGGCGTAGATGGTGTTTGGGTTCTCGCCCGTGCTTGTGGCGTAGAACCCATCATGTGCAGCCACGTTGGAGGCGAGAGAGCCGAGGACAGCATCGCGGTTCTTTGCGTAGGGGCTGTTCGACGTGAAGTTTCCGGTGGTGTTGTAGCAGATTTGCGCATGGGATGGGAAGGTTCGGATCAGAACAGTCAGCGAAATGAGGAAATAAAGGGTGGATGATGAGCGAGCCATATTACGGCTTTGGTGTTTTTGGTGCTTTGGATGGTTTTGCTTGATGCAGAGTCGGAGATTGTCAGGCTATATATTGCAGAGGTTGTGGTTCGTCTTTGTGGAGTATAATTCACTTGCAAGCGAATATGGGGAGGATAAAAAAAAAAGGAGAGAGGAAAGTACAATATGTCGGCAAGTCAAAACCTTAAACCAACGAGCTAGATTTACTAAAACTACTTTACAAAACGGATTTACGAGGAGATATGTTAGATTGTCGGCGACCCTTAACTTAATAATTTGGCCATGTTTAAAAGTCAATAACAGCTCGACATGGTTTATTAAACAAATCAGTCTTAATAAGTTTAGATCAGAAAAAAAAACCCGTGATGTTGGCTTAATGATTTAGAATTTTCGTTTGGCCATATGCATTAGATGAATGGAACAAATTCGATTCCCCGCACAGATTATTATTCATGTAAGTAAAATGGACTTTTCCTCCTAAGCAAGAGGTTAAACTGCTTTATCAAAGATCTCATGCAGACTTCGGCTTCGCTTTGATGTTAAACATATATACGATATTCTCTCCTCCTTGGAAAAATAAAGATATGAGGGGATTAGAGGAATAGGATACGCGGACACCAGTATGTTAGAATAAGAAATGCATTCATTGAGTCAACTGTCACTGTGGCGTTGCATTGATTATTAGAAAAGGAAAATATCAGGAAAAAAAATCCTTTGGTCATTAGAACAGGAAAATATCACAACAGAAGGAATAGTATCAGGATCAAAAGGTGTGGCGTGCAGTTGGGGGAAGCCAGATCCTGTCGTGTTGCGTTTGATCATCACTTGACTCAGTCAAGAAGAACGCAAGAATGCTCTCGCCCCCGTGCCCGCCAAGCGAGGGCAAGGGCTGTCTAGGGTTTGGACCGTGGGATCGGTATCATGGTCGCCCGCCAAGCGAGGGCAAGGACTGTTTCTGATGTTCGTGGCCGCCAGCGCTAGCGAGGGACATTGTCGGATCACATCAACTTGCACAACTATCGTACTGCGTGACGCGTTTTACCTGTACGTAAGCGATTCATAAAAAATAGCTACCGGAAAATTGGTACACTTAAGCATCTCCTGATGCCAATGGAAATACAAGCAATGTCGATGGAGTTAAGGGTGTGAACTAGTGTGTTCGGCTTGGGAAAGGACGTGACGAGAAATTACTGCAGATGTTGCTATGTCGTGCGGGTCGCCGTATTCCAATACTAATTATCTTCTCTTGCTCCAGGGCAAATACAAGTGTTTTCTATTCCTCTCAATTTCTTCCTCTTTTCAAATAAATCAATTCTTAACTTTTTTCACTCTTTTTTTTCACCTCTTACTATTTTATTTTTGGGTTAATAGCTCGAAAAACTCTAAACTGGTACATATATGACAAATTTACCCAAATTAATTTTTTGACTACCAAAAACCCTAAACTGGTACATTCGTGACAAAAGAAAGCCTTCGCGAACTCAATCAAACGAGCAATTCAAGAGATAAGCTTCATGTTCTCCTGCTCGGAGAATGGGTGCAGAATTGGTTGAGGAAAGGGTTTGCCCTACTGAAATCCTTCGTTAATTTTTATTAAATTTTATCATCAAATTACTGAGTTGAATAACACACGGCAATTGCCGGGTATATCAGTTTGAGGTTTTATTTCTCCGTTTATCAAGAGTTTACCAATTTGTGATTTTTCGTAGTATTAATCCAATTTAACGGAAAGTAAATATATCATATGTGTACCGGTTTGGGATTTTTTATGATTAAAAAATTAGTTTGAGGTAAATTTGTTATAAATATATTAATTTGAGATTTTTCGTGATATTAAAAAGTTAGTTTGAGGTAAATTAGTTTGGGAGTAGGCAAGCCTAGGTCTCGTGGAAGACTTCTCTCCCACGTGCATGCGGGGTACTCCCAGCCTAGGTCTTGTGGAAGACTTCTCTCCCACGTGCATGTGGGGTCCCTTCGCTGACTTGAGGCCACCTGGAAGCTCGCGTCTCCCCTTCGTTGACTCACGCAATATCTGCCCTTTTTCCCGTTGACTTGAAAGTTGCTTTGCAATTCACATTTCAATTACAGTTTACTTCATTTAAAAATTGCACAATTCTAACAGGATTGAGATTGAAAATATAAGGAAATCAAGTTGCGTAAAATGCACGCCCACTCTTCATGATCGCTTTGACTCAACGTGGCCAAAACATTGCGTTGTTTAAAATGACGTTAGCATTGGAATGAGGGGGGCCGCTCCTTAATTTATATTTAACCGGCGAAATAGGGGGAAAGAATCGAAATAAACATTGAAGTATTGAGATAAAAATTATATTTAAGGAGTTGATCGACTAAGGAATTAGTAATTTTAAATCGTCATAAGATAAAACCGAACTCCAATTCAAATTTAAAAAAAGTGTAAGAGATTTAGGAAATTGCATTCTTATTCTTTAAACTATGTCAAATTACGATTTTATCCATCATTAGTATTGTGTGATTATGATCCGTCTTACAAATTCATAAATGCATTAGTACGAGTTATTATTGAGAAAGTGCTAAGGATTCAACCTCCTTTTGACTCCACTTATATAATAAAAAGATTAGAAGATAACTACTCATGTACATCATTTTCTTGAATATTTATGTGTGTGTCTATATATATATTTTATGTTTGATATTTAACTATTCTTTTGTACTTTGCAAGACTTTTCTTAGGAAGTGGTTCGTGAAAAAAGCTGCAGCTCCTAGGAAATACACAATGCAAAAAATAACTTATGTTAAGGATGTTTCAAGACATTTTTTGTTAGAAAATTCTGAGTTATGATGTTATTTGACAGTAGGTCACGAAAAACCCCAAACTAATACACCCGTAATAAATTTACAGTCCGTTAGCTTTCATTAAATTTTATCATCAAATTTCCGAGTTGGATGACATGTGATAGTTAACAGATGTATCGGTTTGGGGTTTTATCCTCCATTTGTTATAGGTGTAATAGTTTGCGTTTTTTCGTGATATTAATTAAATTTAACGGAGAGTAAATTTGTCACAAATGTACCAATTTGGGATTTTTGGTGGTCAAAAAATTAGTTTGGGGTAATTTTTTAACAGATTTACCGGTTTAGGGTTTTTCGTAGTATTGACCCTAGATTAAAAGAAAGACAGAGAAATGATTTGATTATTTCCACTATTAGAAAATGATTTGCTCACCCAAGCCTAAGTTTTCAGATTGTAGATTCTTAAGCAGCTTGGTTTTTTGGAAAGGTCTTCACCTGGTAATTGAAAATGGTGTCTGTGTTTGTCATTTTAGCCTATGTATACACTTGCTAAGTACAGAGAGGCTGCTCATGGAAAAAAAAAAAGTGCACAGAAGATAGCAAAAGAAATCATCAAATAAACAAAATTGCACAAATCTGACAAAATTAATATTGCAAATTAAAGGGAAAAATGTGGCGTAAAATACACACTTTTCATGATTGCAGAAGAACTTGTACAGGGAATCACTTCCCGATGTCAATGGAAATACTAGCAATGTCGATTGAGTTAAAGATGTGAACTAGCTCGTTCGACTCGGAAAACGACCTAATGAGAAATTACAACCAGTGTTACTATGTTGTGCGGGTAGTCACATCGCAATACTAATATCCTAATCCATACAAATGAATTCTTTCGTCTCAATTTCTTCCTCTTTTCAAATAAATCAATTTTTAATTATTTTCCACATTTTTTTGTCACCTCTTACTGTTTTATTTTATACTATCACTGGGAGTATGCAAGAATACATCAGTTCACTTGGATGTCTGCATCTCCCTTCGCTGACTCGAGTAACATCAGCTCCTTTTCCCTGTTGACTTGACTTCGAGATGCTTAGAAGATAGCAATTACAATGTATCTTTTCTAGCAAATGGAGAATTAAAAGGATGGAACTTATCAGAAGAATAATTTTATCTTGTGATCCGTAATGTAGAGTATTATTCTTGCCAATTTTTTGTTTTAAATTTCGAGAATTAGGGCCTATGATGTTGGTCATAAAACCATTGCAAACAATGCCATATTATATTTCCCACACAATATAATTAATTGTCAATTTACATTTACAATGAACAGTTGAGGTGTTAGAATTGTATTTCGAATTTGCATCATCAAACAAAATCCAATCCGTAGAAGAGAAGTACAAAATGGACTTTGGTACATGTTTTTGGTAAAAGTAAATACAGATGTTGATGAAGTTGCATACTAATCGGGATTGGATTCCTAGTTTGAGTTGGCTAAAATAGGTATATATGTATAAAATTCGGTTTTTGGAGTCTGAAGGCCTTGATTTTGCAGAGTGCTGTCTCGAGGGCTTTGTAATTTTACACCAAGTGGAGAAGCTTGCAGTGGTGTGCAATTTTTTTGGCATCTGTCTTCTTTTAAGTGTTTGTAGCAGTAAAAATATTGTGGTACTATTTTTGGTATTTATATGTGAGAGTGAGTGATTGTGTCTAGAGGATTCTAAGGAATAAGCACATTGTGAGATTACTCGGTATAATTTGGAGTTGTGAAACTGTTTAAGTGACTCGAGTGTGATTATAATCACTTATTGCTTGATATATAGTGGAATCCCATGCTGCTTTTCCCGTACGATAAGTCACATTGATCGAATCACGTAATTTTGGTGTTCAATTTTGTTTTGTTCTCTTTATTATTGTGTTTGATCCACTTGTTCCCGTAACATGAGGTATTTATTTGAAAAGTTTTTTTTTTGTTATTCTTGTAAACATCGAGTTTTTATTTATCAAGCTTAAAAAACAAAAAGTCAAAAGTCAAAACAAACACCCATACATCAAAACAAATGTTACTATTAGGGTTTTGTTCTTTTTTCTCTCCATCGGCAAATCCCCTCATCTCCAAAAAACTCTTTCCTCTTTTGAAGCTCTCCCGTAGTCTCTCAACTTCGGTTTCCAAAGCTAAGAGCCTACTTAGTCTTTGTTTTTTTTTTCTTTGCTTTGATTGTCTTTTCTTTTCTCTCCCGATTTGTTTTGGGAATTTGTGTGTGTGAATAAATTTCTGCAGTTGAACTTGGGTGAACATGGAAACCAATCCGGTCATTCATCTAGTCAATAGCCATTGA